GATATGCTTTAAAAAAAAATAAACCAAACCAATTAAAACAAAAAGAATATATATTAAATTCATACGACAGTACCAAAAAAATGTTGTCGGCATTAAATAACTGTTTTCAATGATATACCGAAAAACAAAATGAACCAAACCAATTTAAAGAAAACGAATACATATTCTATTCAGCAACAGTGAATCTATCCTAAAAATATTTTTGGCATTAAATAACCCATTGAGGTTGATATGCCGTTAAACAAAAAATTTGTAACCAAAAAAAATACATATTATACCAAATACAAAAATCATATCCAGAAAAAATGTTGTCGGTATTAAATAAATTAACTTGAAGGTTCTATTTATATTGAGTAAATATGATAAATATATTAAAAATTTTCGCCATAAATCATTTTGTTTCAAAAGCGATTTTTGTAAATTTTTTTTTTTTTTTTATTATTAAAAAAAAAATTCATTTCATAATTTTACGACTGATAGAGTATAATTAAAATAAATATTTTAAAAAAAAATGAGAGCAAGACTAAGGAAAATTGTTTTAAAAGGAAAAAAAAAAATTTTTAATAATCAAAGCATCATATTTTAAAAAAAACATTACATTTAATATTTGAAAATTATATTTATTGGGGAATAAAATTTTTAAGGAAGGGATTTGTAATGTTGGAAATTAGGCGAGAGATAGAAATTATTGAAATTAATTTTAAAAAGTTACATTTAAAATTTCAAAAGTGAATTTTTGCGATCGAATATAGCGAAATTGATTAAGGGAAACGACATGAAACGTTTTTGAGAGCCTTGAACAATTGTATGATGCCAGTTAATTGAAATTTTAAATTTTGAATGGGTTTCAATGCCATGAAATGACATTTAAAAATCTCGATCTTGACAAGGCTATATTAATGTTTTTGATGTTTTTGGTTAAAATTTAATTAAATTTGCGGTGTAAAAAAATAATATCCCGTAAAAGCCTATTTTATGTTTAAATTTTTCTCCCAAAATTTATTCGATCAAATATAAATAATCACTATTGTTCATATAAAGCGGCTTTGTATATATTTTGACAGTTTTAAATATTTTGAATATATAACACAATATAATATATTGACATCCACATGAAAGTCTCAATCTAAGAGACTATTTAAGAAAATGAAACGAATCAATTTTCACGTTGATGTTTTTTTTTGCATCAAATTGATATATTTATGTTTAAATACCTTCTTTCATTTAATTATTCTATGTTCAATCCTAATAATGAATTGGAACAAAAAAAAAATTGAAATGTGATGAACTCTTTCCATAGAAATACCGTTCCCAGATGGATGGGAATAAAAAAGAAATAAATAACTGACGAATAAGAATATTTGATCCAGTTTTTTATGATAAATTTTTCCTTTTTTTTTAAAATTATTCACCATTCCCTTGATGATTCTTGAATGGACTTTGAGTTATTCAGGTAGAAATAGGACAGGTTAAATCGTTTTGTATCAGCCAAACTGTCTTCTCAGCTGAGCAATGGTGCGAGGAAAAAGATCATTCAGGCCTTTAAAAATGCTACCAACATTCATATTCTAAAATCCATCTTCAAAGTTCATTCAAGAACCATCAAGAGAATGGTGAATAATTTGAAAAAATTTTAAAAACAGTTTAAAAAAAAAACTGGAAAAGGTGGTCACAACGAGAAGAGGGATCATGAATTTTAACCTCAAACTAAAGAGATCAATTAAAGTGATCCAACTCATTTCCATAAGACGTTTGTCATGTTGAGAGAGAAGTTTAAGCTATGACATTTTCAATCAGTTAATTTGAAAAATGACTTGTAAATGAAATCGTACGTAAAACGTATATAGGCACCTGCCTTTACAACAGGACAAAAAATTTAAGTTTATATATATATATATATATATATAATAATATATATAAATATATATAGATATATATATATATATATATATATATAAATTCATGAATCATTCATACAAAAAACAAATATAGAGGTTAATGATTTAAATGGCGAGAATACATCTTCGCAAACAATATAAATAAGATACATCAACCCCGAACCTGTATATGAATGATATGATCCCTGTTCATAAATTCCAGTTGCATAAGGTCTTTTTTTTTTTTTACAAGCTTTCGTCTGTTCCTACAGACATCCTCAGGTATGGAAATAGATTTGTTCTTGCTTTTTACTTCTCGGTAATAAGAGGACAACGAAAATAGAGATGTAATCCGAAAAATGCTATGAGAAATGTGTTATTGTTTTGGAACGTGCGGTCGCAACGTTGAGTTTGAATTTTAAATTTTAAGGTTGTGCGTTTTTTACAAATATAGCAAAAAGAGAATTTTTTTTACTGGTAGGATTTTCCGTCAATGTGGCATGAACTATATTGTTCAATAATTACAGGAATCTACACTTATTATCCGAAATTTGCACGTTGGATCAAAATTTTAAATTCAATAAAAATTTATATATTATAAAACAAATGCGCAACTTGGAAAATTTAAATTAATAATCATGAATCATAACATGTCTAAAAAAAAAAATATCTTATTTATAATTGTTTGCGAAGATGTATTCTCGCCATTTAAATCATTAACCTCTATATTTTATTTTTTGTATGAATGATTGACGAATTTATAAATTATAATTACACTCAATCCTAGGAGAGAATATATATATATATATATATATATATATATCGATATATATATATATATATATATGAACAATTTATTCAATGATTCCTGAGCTTCCAGTCCTAAATATTAATGATGGACATGTCATTTTTCGTTTATGAACGGTTTTATCACGAGTCTTCTATTTTACGTTTTTGGAGAGTAACTATACATTCTTATAGCTCAAAGTAGAGTCCAATAGTGTTATAAAAACCTCGGAGGATTCCAGTAAGATATCTTTAATCATTTCTAACATACAACAGTTCAAAGCCTAATTTAACAATTGGCCAATTTTGCTGTTGCACGATTTGAACACTTTTGCAGTTATATCTGGTGTATGCGCAATATATATTTTTTCACTTTTGTTCCTGATACTGTTCTAACTTCCTGCCTTTACACACACACACATACATATATATATATATATATACATATATATATATATATATATATATATATATATATATATATATTCCAAAACCTTTCCTCACTTTCGAGTAAAAGATCTGCTTGTAAGGTAATCTTTTAAGAATAAATATCTTTTAAATTTATTGAATTTATTTGAAAAAGATTCCAAAGTTTCTCTAAAATTTCAAAAGAATTATAATGACTCCGCTAGATTCGGGAGTGGAATGATATCGCGCGTGCATCTCTTGTTAATGATCCATCATCATGTCAGCATAAATGGTAATATCTTTGATTATTTACAATAAACAATAAAAAGCATATTGACATCAATATTTGTATCTATGAAGATTGCCTATCCCAGAAAAAATATTTTAAACTCGATTCGAATCGAACCTTTTCTTGTAAAATTGATGACAAAAATTCAATAAAATCCCATATATTTATATACTTATATATAAAAAAACTGCAGGTTGAGATAAATATAATTTTGAAAATAATATTTTATTTAGAAAATTTTGTTACAGTTTTTTTTTCCTTCCTCCTTTCTATTATCTATCTATCTATCTATCAACTATCTATCTAAATCTAAATGTTCACTTGATCAATGGCTTTTCATATCTAGCTATCACTCCAAATAGCCATTTCTGTAAATCTTGGTCATTTTTTTAATGCAGGAAATAAATGCCTATCAATGGATCACTCTATCTATGAATCTCTCTCAGAAAGAAAATCAGATATGGAATATAATATATATATATTTATATATAAAAAAAAAAGAGAAACATTTAAGATATTTAATAAAACCTTTTTTAGATATCTTTATTTTACAAAATAGTGCTTTTTGTAAATTTACAGATATTTTTATATAATATATATATATATATTTGAATATATATATATATAAATATATAGAGTTATATATATAAAAGAATCTGTTCGTTCGTATCTATCTTTGTAAAGTTGTTCATGTAAGCTATCTATCTCAGTGGATATTCGTATAGGATTTATTATCTATCTATCTATCTAGAAAGATGTCTTTTCTGATGTAGGATATGTCATTGTATCTTGTAAAATTTCTTATATATCTAGCTGTAATCTGTCTTGGTTTATCCTTTTCATTATATATCAAACCATAATATATAAAATCTTCTATATCAGTCTTTTTCATAAAAAATAAAATTTTAATGATAAATCAATTTTTTTTCCTATCTAAATATATGAAATCTAAGAATATATCTAAAACAATTATCATATCTTGTAAATAAAAAAAAAGAGTTTAACATTAAAAACGTTTTTTAAAACTATAAAAAGTCTCGATCTAACGAAACAATAATTTCTGTTGGAACGTGATTCGAGTTTTCTGATTAATGTTTTGGTTTTGTCACAAGTTAAAAATGATGTAAAAAATACCTTTGGCAAAACTTTTTAAAAAATCTCCTATAGTAGGTAAACAATAAAGATGTTCCAAACAATAAAAATATTTGTAAATGTTTGATGTTTAAAACATTCAAAATAGACAGTAAAACAATAAAACCTTTTACAGTCAAATCTTATCCGGCTTAGCCAAAACAATGAAACATTATCTAAAAACATTTTTTTCTTTTTTTCTTTTTCTTGATGCCATGTTGTTAAAGTTTTTGTTTTAAAAATAGACTTTAGAACAATTCCTTCTTTTAATTAATTTTTGTTTTCCAAATTTCAAAAACTTAATAAACAATAAAATAGATTTTAAACTTGAAAATAAACAATTAAAAACGAGTTTATTTAGACTTTAATAATTGATATGAGAAAACGGTTGCAAATAGGGGATAATTTAGACATTTATGAAAAAGGGTCATTTCATGCGATCTGAAAAGGGTGTTAAAAAAAGGTGACACACAAAAAGGTTAACACAATCTACGCTTGATAATGAAATATTATAGTAAACTCGCCAAGCAGAGATTAACATAGATGGAACAGAGATGAGAGGCATTAAAAGAAAAGATAAATAGATGGAAAATGAATAGATAGATAAATAGATACGAACAGACTGAGATAGATGGATAGATTGAATAGATAGAACGAAAGATAGATAGATAGATAGATAAAACGCACGGTAAAACAGTTAGAATAGATAGATAAAATAGATGAAGAACAGTTAGATAGATAGATAAAATGAGAATAGATAGATAGAGAGATAGATAAATAGAAAAAGAAAATATGAACAGATGGAAAGATAGATAGATAGATAGATAAATGTTATGATAGATAGAATGAAAATAAACAAAGAACAGAAACAGATAGAAAAAAGAATAAACTGAGATAGATAGATGAAAAATAGATAGATAGATAGATAGATAGATAGATAGAGAATAAACAGAATGAGACAGAGATAGATAGATAGATGGAAAAATATAGATAGATAAAATAGATAGATAGAATAGATAGATAGATAGAAAATGAAAGCTGAAAGATATATACCTATCAAATAAAATAAAAAGAGACAAAATTAAAATCTTTAAAATGGTAAAAAATTGATAAACAAAGACAATAATAAACTGAGTCAATCAATTATAAAAAAGCCAAACAATTCTCCAAGAAAAACATTATCAGAATAAAAAATTAAACACACACACACACACTTTTAGACGTTAATTTCTTTTCTTTTTTTCATGTTTCATCATATTTTTTTTTCTTCATTTTTTTTTCTTCTGCGGTTCGATGTGTTTTGTCTGAATCTAGTAAACTAGGAAGACGAAAATATATTAATAAATTTTTCTTTAACGTTTTCACAAGTAAAAGAGAAAAAACATGGCTGAACGAAAACAGAGTTTGAAAACGAAAGAGAAAAGGTTAATAATAGATAATAAATGTCTATGATTTCATCGATCGGCCATTCAAAACAGTACACATACAAGCTTGTGTGTTGTGTCTCTTCATGACGCTCCACATTTTCCTATTCTATATGGCTCTAAGCAATATTTGTCGACTATCAATCTCGTCCTAATATTTACATAGGTTCGTTAAGTAGATGAATCACAGTCTCCGTGTATGTCTCTTAACTTTCTGATGTCCTTTGAGTGTCAAATTCTCCAAACCCTCTTTCCTTATTATGTTTGGTTAATTAGAACTGTTTCATTTGATGAAAAGTATAAACCTTCTTTACCTTTTGTTTTTACGTATAAAACTTTCTCGTTACTCACATGCTTAAATTCATGACATCCCCAGCAATAACATTATCTATTTATCTGTGAGGAACTGTCCGAATTACTGCAGTAGTTCAGCATTCTTTTCAGTTTCGTACGCCATTTTTCCTGTTTCTTAATACTTTGTTTCGTATTTGGAAGGCTTCTTTCGTTAATGGATTTTCTGGCCCTCATATTCAATCCATGGTATTCTCAGGATCCTGCGTTAAAAACACTTTATTATTGTTTCAAGTCTCTTATTCTTCGCGGAGGAGATTCTCCAGCATTCAACACCATATAAAAGGACTAAATATTACGTAACAATTTTAATGTTTTTTTTTCTGTCACTTCAAGTTCTTCTTCATCAAAACTGCCATTTGGGGACTGATGTATTCCAACGGATTCAGTTATTCTTTGTTTCACATCACAAAATCGCATTCTTTTTTTGATTTGACTGATAAGGAAGTATTTTTAGAAAACAGTTCATATCATTTTCATTTCTGAATATTGTCTGTTCTTCATCTGAAATCATTAATTAAATATAAAATTTCTTGGGGACTCTTTATTAAATTTCTGAAAAATTAGTTCAGATAGATAGATTATGAATTTCCATATTAATTAGCAGTTTAGTATAATTCATTGTTTCTCTTCTTTATCTCTTCTTCATCTGTGAGAGATTGTCCAGCATTCACTGCCATATGGGAGGACTGATATTATGTAACAGTTCAGTACTCTTTTTCATTTTTTTCTTGCTTCAAGTCGTATCTTCATCTGTGAGAGATTGATATTCACTGTCTAACAGTTTTTTTTTCTTGTTTCTTTTGCTTCTTAAGACTTCTTCATCTGCTCACATTGTCCAGCATAGTATGCATCAGGAGGACTATTACGTAACAGAACCTCTTTTCTTTGTTTCTCTTGCTTTCTCTTCATCATCTGTGAGGAGATTGTCCAGCATCCATTGCCATATAGGAGGACTGATAACAGGTTCAGTACTCTTTTCTTTGTTTTTTTGCTTCAAGTCTCTTCTTCATCTGAGGAGATTGTCCAGCATTCACTGCCAGGAGAATTGATATTCACAGTTCAGTAAATTTTCTTTTTCTGTTGCTTCAATATCTTCTTCATCTGTGAGGAGATTGTCCAGCATTCACTGCCATATAGGAGGACTGATATTACGTAACAGTTCAGTACTCTTTTCTTTTGTTTCTGCTGCTTCAAGTCTCTTCATCTGTGAAGAGATTGTCCAGCATTCACTGCCATATAGGAGGACTGATATTATATAACAGTTCAGTACTCTTTTCTTTTGTTTCTCTTGCTTCAAGTCTCTTCTTCATCTGTAAAGGAGATTGTCCAGCATCCATTGTTATATAGGAGGACTGATATTACGTAACAGTTCAAAACTCTTTTTTTATTTCTTTGCTTCAAGTCTCTTCTTCATCTGTGAGGAGATTCACAGCATTCACTGCCATATATAGGACTGATATTATATAACAGTTCAGTGATCTTTGTTTCGTAACAGTCTCTTCTTCATCTTGAGGAGATTGTCCAGCATTTTCTTTCAAAACTGATTTATATAATCAAGTACTCTTTTCATTGTTTCTCATCTGTTCTTCATCTGTGAGGGAGATTGTCCAGCATTCATTGCCATATAGGAGGACTGATATTACGTAACAGTTCAGTTGAATTTTTGTTTCTGTTGCTTCACTCTTTTCTTCATCTGTGTGGAGATTTCCAGCATTCACTGCCATATAGGAGGACTGATATTCTAACTTCATCATTGTTTGTCTTGCTTCAAGTCTCTTCTTCAGGAGATTGTCCAGCATTCACTGCCATATAGGAGGACTGATATTACGTAACAGTTCAGTACTCTTTTTCTTTGTTTTGTTTTCTTCTTCATTGTGAGGAGATTGTCAGCATTCACTGCCATATCTGTAACAGTTCATCTTTTTCATTGGCTTCAAGTCTCTTCTTCATCTGTGAGGAGATTGTCCAGCATTCACTGCCATATAGGAGGACTGATATTACGTAACAGTTCATTACTCTTTTCATTGAACTCTCGTTTCAAGTCTTTCTTCATCTCTTGAGGAGATTGTCCAGCATTCATTGCCATAAGGGATAAAACTTCATCTTTCAAAAGGAGCAATTGTCTCATCTTCATCTGTGTGGAGATTGCCATTCACTGCCATATAGGGACTGATATTACGTAACAGTTCAGTACTCTTTTCTTTGTTTCTCTTGCCTTCAAGTCTCTTCTTCATCTGTGAGGAGATTGTCCAGCATTCACTGCCATAAGGAGGACTGATATTACGTAACAGTTCAGTACTCTTTTCTTTGTTTCTCAACTTCAAGTCTCTTCTTCATCTGTGAGGAATTGTCCAGCATTCACTGCCATATAGGAGGACTGATATTAAAACAACAGTTCATTTTCATTCTTGCCAAGTCTGTTCTTCATCTGTGAGGAGATTGTCCAGCATTCATTGCCATATAGGAGGACTGATATTACGTAACAGTTCACTCTTTCTTTGTTTCTCTTGCTTCAAGTCTCTTCTTCATTTGAGGAGATTGTCCAAACTCTTTACATAACATTCTTTTCATTGTTTCTCTTCTTCCAAGTCTCTTCTTCTTCTTCACAGTTGTGATTAACAGTTCAGTATTGTCCAGCATTCTTCTTCATCTGCATTCACTGCCATAGGACTGATATTACGTAACAGTTCAGGACTCTTTTCATTGTTTCTCTTGCTTCAAGTCTCTTCTTCATCTGTGAGGAGATTGTCCAGTACTCATATTTGAATTTGTTTTTTTTCATTTTATTGCTTCAAGTCTCTTCTTCATCTGTGAGGAGATTGTCCAGCATTCACTGCCATATAGGAGGACTGATATTATATAACAGTTATACTCTTTTCGATATTCGTTCTCTCTAATCTGAAGGAATTCCATATTCATTGCCATATAAACTGATTTACTGTAACAGTTAGTACTCTTTTCTTATTTTCTCTTTTCAAGTCTCTTCTTACAAAAAATGGATTGTCCAGCATTTACAAACATGAGGAAATTGCCGTCATTGGAAATAAATGAAAATGGCTTCTGAATATTTCTTTTTTTAAAAATGGATTAACCGGTATAGGAAGGAACAGCCAAATACTGAAATGAGTTTTGAAAAATACTGGTCTGAGTTTTCGTGATAAGAGAAATGCTTTATTGGTGCAATCGGAAACGCATAGTCAGGATTGTTAGAAAATTCCTACAAAATCAAACACCTTCTGCCCTTAGTTGGGCCGCTTAAAGTCAGTCATTGATGAAAAGAAGACGCGTCCCTAAATTGACCAATCGTTTTGATTGATCGATTGATTCGTTTTCTATGGCTTATCAACCAGTTGCAGGTTATTTAAAGCCAGAATATTTTTTTTTTAGATAATAAATATTTTAGTGATAAAAGTCTTACTATTTAACACATAGCCGGGGGACTGGTGGATCCATGCCATTCCCAAGCGTATTTGTGGGTAAGTAGATATAAAGACGTGAATTGGAACTTGGCTTTCTGATTAATAATTCGGTCTCATCATCATCACCATCCGAGGTTTGAATCGGGTTTTTGTATTTTGGATGGACACTTTTGATGTGTCCCAAATATAGTTATCTCAAATCCTCCTAATTTCTTTCACGCACACACACACACGCATATATATATATATATATATATATATATATAGCACTGCTGATGAGTCCCAAATATAGGACGAAACGACCGTCCAGTGCTTTCTGCATTCTGTTGAGGTTTCTTCTAGACTCGATGAATTACTTAATTATGATTATCTCAAATATCGCACTCTCTCTCTCTCTCTCTCTCTCTCTCTATATATATATATATATATATATATATATATATATATATATATATACTGCGATGGATAAATTGTCGTCCAAATTATACTTTAAATGAAACGAAAAAATGTGTGTGTGTGTGTGTATATATATATATATATATATATATATATATAGTCAGCAATCCTTCTTTCATGCCCGTTTCATTGAATACGACAGACAATGTGCTTTGATTTAGTTTTTTATACAATTTATCATGTGATCCTATATATTTTTTTCTTTTCGGGGGATAAATTATATAAAACCTGTCCCATTTTTCTTCTAGACTCGATGAATTACTTAATTATGATTATTTCAAATCCTCTTAATTATTTCTCTCTGTATTTCCTTGCTTGAACCGGCTTCTAATGCCCTGGGGTGAGCGGCTTGGCGATAGTAGCCGTGGATCGGGGAGGCACAGTCCTATGGGTAAAAGAGTAACTCGCAGAAGTTCCACCACAGAATTTGTGATCGAGCGGCGCTAAATCGAGTCTAATTTCGTTACCTCTTCGTCACCGAGAACCGTTGGTATGGCGTTTGCCTCCTATCGTACCTGTTCGGGTTTCAATTCTCGGTAGTGGAGGCGCACTGCTAATAAGTCCTAAATACAGGACGAAACGGCCGCCCAGGGCTTTCTGCATTCTGTTCAGGTTTCTTCTACAAACGATGAATTAATTATAATTCTCTCAAATCCTCCTTAATTTATATCATTTGTATATCCTTGCTTTAACCGGCTTTAAATGCTCTGGATAAAGCTGCTTAGTGATAGT